TTCTTGAAATAATTGTAAATTATTATTGTAAATACAAAAATCTTACATTTTAAGCTTTACTAAAATGTAAGAATTGAATTTTATAATTAATATCTATTACAATAATTAGTCTATCCACTTAACAAATTTCAAATCTGTACTTAACATAAAAAAAATATAATAATAATCTTGACGTAAAAGAATTTAATCACATGCTCCATAAATACATTGATAAATTTATTAAATTAATATACGATCACTATATAATTTTAATTTTATTTTACGTTTCCCAAGTAACTATTAAAGTAACTGTTAAAATTATCAAAAAAATGTAATTTCTTTACAAGTAACGAGTTACTTCCCAACCCTGGAAACCCTGGAATATTTCGCCTCGTGTTATTAATACATTTTCTGGATAATTTTCAAAATTTCTCACGTAACACTAAAATTTCTTAATAATAATATGCGTTCTTAAAGAATAACAGCTGTAAATAACGTAATAAAGGAGTGCGATCTGATGACAGGAACGCGGCGCTGGATTATATGATTCAGATCGTTTTTATTCTCAAAGCTTTTTATGCACATGTAACGATCAACTGTGTAACAATATTATTTCTGATGATCGCAAAGGAGCTCTCCTCTTTTCCCTTCCTCCTCTTTCTCTCAACACACACATACATACACACATCGTCGCGATATCTACACGATACACTCGGCTGCTCGCTTCCTCGTAGCTTCTTACTTTGTTTGCAATATAAAGTAGTCAAGAATTAGATGGCTCTCTATCGTATATTATACAGAGAATATATCTATCGTTTTCTCTCGTTACACGTAGTCTCTCTCCTGTTATCAAATGGCGCGCCACGTGAGAATCGCTCATGCAACAGATCGTCGTAATACTGCTCGAATTACATATTCGCGGGTGAACCATACCGTAGAGAATCCTCCCGCAGAAACGCTCTCATCGCACACCCACGCGAACATCCTCGGCGAACGAAGCTTAAGGATACGTTCCGTTAGCTCGCGCTTATGTAAGATCAGCGGTTTCAGTCGCGTTAACGCGTGCGACACGCAAAAAATACACACCGTCGCATCTCCTCGAGTTTATCTCTGTACGTCGAGCTTATACGTCATTACAGTCGACTATCTTGGCAATACAGAATCATACTTCGAAGATCATTGAGAGGTCAGATGTCGGGAGTCTTTGCCCCCTTTACTGCACATCGTCTCTTTCTCCCTGTCCCTCCTTGTTCTCTTAATACTATACGATTTTTACACTTAACATTTCTCTCTTTTCGAACAAAATGAACGAGACCACGCGTGATCGTATGTTTATGAGACACGTAAATCTTCTTACGCGACACGCAAATAGGAATTTCCATTCTTAGGATTATATAACACTCGAAAACTAATCTCCTCGTTAATCTTCTCTCACCTCGAGCTCTCGGAAACCTGTGCCGTCTCCGTGAAAGATACACCGTAAGTCCAAGTGTGTTATTTTGGCTGAATTCCTGCTCACACATTCCTCACCGTAAGTCACGTCATTCAACACTATGTATAAGGCGTATCATAATTCACACGCCTCAAATGTGTTAAATGGCGCGACTCGAAAGCGTAGGAAACGTGAAAGAAGAACTTCAACCGAATTGCACACGTTTAAAAGTGACACACTTGCGATGTCTCTACTTTGCACTTTTCTAACGCGACGGGGAACACCCCGGGAACTCGTTCCGTCATACTCGATGAAGATCGAATCCACGTGGATCCCGCGATCTACGCGGACGAGGGTTTCTCTGCACATCCCCGTCCCCGAAAAATTCCAGGGACAATGATCCTTTCCTCTCCCCGGCAATGCGGAGAACGACATCTCGCACAGAATCCGACTTCTCGAGATAAAGCTTACGTGCGTCCTCCGAGACGCGTATCGCTTCTTAAGCCGTAAAGAAGTATAAGTTTACAAAAAAAGGACACTGTCTAGAAAATTGAGAAAGGTCTCGCATGATAAATACTGACATTCTTTCGAAATGCACGCGCGCGCGCGCGCGCTTGTCGTCGAGACTTGTTTTGATTCTCTCGGCGAGGAGAATCCGAAAAGGATGATTATTGTACGAGTTCTTTCGATGTGGCGACCGTATAGCTCCGATAACGACGGGCGGAGGCGACGGGGGAAGGAGTTACGCGATGCAAACACGTATCCGAGAAGGTCGTGTGTATTTCGCGAGATCACGCCCGTTGTCTCATGTGTCGCTCTTTTTTTTTTGTCATTTTATCTTCTTCTGCGGTGACACGAACCCCACACGCACTACATTGTCAACAACATCGATCATCAAGCAAGAATCGCGCAACTGTCGCGAAGGCGAAAGCGACTCCGTCCGGACGACGCGCAAAGGAAAAAGAATCAAAATTCAAGCGCAACGCGCCGAACACTCGCGCTGCGTAATTTCCAAATTGATATTCCACGGTCGCTCAGGCGCGTTTCAAAATGGTCGTGAGAACGTCGCCCACTCGGAAACGGTGCTCGCCGCGATCTACAGTGCGGACACGCAGATTTACACTGATAAAACACTAGTAAAAACCTGCTCTCGTGTAGCTAGAACGTCGACAAACGCGCCCGTTCTCGTCCTCGACGAGCCGAACCGACTAATTTCACTCTCGTCCTCCTCTCCCTCCTCCTAGCCGAATTGTAAGAATTTTCTCCTTCTTCTCAGGGAAACACGCAACAAGCGTCTCCTTCGGCTGTATTAAGGCTCCTAGTCCCTCGCATTGTCTGTCTCTTTTTAATGACGTCAAAAGCGAGAAAATACACGCTAAAAATTCTTGCGAAATTTGAACGTTGAAGTAAAAATATATATCCATAAAGTAACACTTGCAATCGATTAATCGATTTGTAAGATATTCCGTGCACTCTCCTTTTGCTCTAACAATCAATAATTTGTCGTAATTTAACGTGACAACTCATCTTCTTAACCTATTTCTTCGCATTCAGGTTAATTTACAATAAATTATTGTACTTTGATTGTTAGAGCCAAAGGGGAATGCACGGCATATCTTACAAGTTTGTTTAATCGACCGCGATTGTTACTTTATGGATATATATTTTTATTTCAACGTATTTCGCGAGAATTTTTAGCATTCTCTAGCTTCTGACGTCATTAAAAAAGAGACAGACAATGCCAGGATGCCAGGAAATGAGGCATCCTAGACAAGATAGACAATGAGGCATCCTAGAAGAGATAGACAATGCCAGGAAGTGAGGCCAGGAGCCTTAATTTTACTAATTTTGTTTGTTGATTATTTCATTTTGATTATGTCGACGTTAATTTCGCACGTCGATAATAACAGACAACGAGATCACGCATGTACGTTTAAATCACGCGCAGGATACAATTTTCTCGAGCAGCTCCTCAGTGATTATACGCGTGTGCCGTCTCGTTGAATATCCAATAGTAATCGCTATAACACGTCGACATTACGATGACGTAGTCGCGACACAACGCGTCGTGTTTATTTACAATCGATGATATGTGACAAAGTAAGCAACGAGATACGCACGAGATACATGCAATTTTGCTGCAGTCCCGCGACGTTACGCCCGATTCTCACACAAGCTCGCTCATCCACCAGCAGGACGAAACACCGAGTCATTGGCGCCCGATCGCCGATCCCCCCTCGTCACTGACCCTCCAGAAGAATCTGGCTTTTCTCGCGACCAGCGACAGTTGTTTACGAGGTCCTCCCTTGAAATCATAGACTGCGGGCAAGAGGCTCGAGTGCAACGCTGGTGGCAAGAAAAATTAAGGCTCCTGGGGAGTCGCATCATCCATCTCTTTTTAATGACGTCAGAAGCGAGAAAACGCATGCTAAAAATTCCTGCAAAATACGTCGAGATAAACAGATATATCCACAAAACGACATTTGCGATCAATTAAGTACACCTCTAAAATACTCCGTACACTTTCCTTTTGTTCTAAAAATCAATAGATAATCGGAAAATTAATATGACAAGATAATGAGGAAATTAGGTTAGAAAAGACGATTGCACGTCACATTTATTTTATAATTATCTGTTGATTGTTAGAACAAAAGGAAAGTGTACGGAGTATTTTAGAGGTGTACTTAATCGATCGCAAATGTCGTTTTGTGGATATATCTGTTTATCTCGACGTATTTTGCAGGAATTTTTAGCATGCGTTTTCTCGCTTCTGACGTCATTAAAAAGAGATGGATGATGCGACTCCCCAGGAGCCTTAAGCATTTCTTTCTGGAATATCAATGACCAAAAGCGGGAATGTCAATAATTAGATGTTTCATACACACTCTCGCGCTTCACGAATACGTGAAAAATAAGAAGAAAGAGAGAGAGAGAGAGAGAGAGAGAGAGAGAGAGAGAGAGAGAGAGAATGAGACAAAGAAAGAAAGAACGAGCAGCTCGACGAACGTGGGACGAGAGGTGTACAGACGAAATGAAAAATGAGAGAGATTCACAATTTACAAATAAATATAAAACATATATTTAAATTAAATGCCACAAAATATCTTGCTCTGCGATAAATTCGAAAATGGTCGGAGTGCAGCCCTACATTCGGGCTCATGCCGCGCGTGAAGTTACAGTGCCGAATGACATCATAGATCGTCGCGTTTCGGTGCGATTCCAATCGACACGATATCGCGGGATACGATTCGGCAGGTATCGCAAGCCGCGCGATACGCCGAAAAATCGTACGGACACATTATCTGGGTGAGAGGGAGGGGCGGGGGGACGAAAAAAAGGAAATCTATACAAAAGGGATTATCGCCGGGGAGGCGTCGGTGACGCGCGCGCGTCATCGAGTCCGCCCTCGTCTCTTTCGATATCGATACAATTCAGTCTTAGTCAATTTCTACCGCCGCGTAATACATACATTCACCGCACCCGCACCACCACAGTTTCACGCGGATTCGTTGGAAGTCGTCGGAGATGCCGCGCTAGTTTCCCCACCGCGACGAGAAGCAAGGAGACTCGCTTTTTCTT